AACTCTTAGGGATTAAAAATCCATATGGCTCTCAGCAGTGCTGCTTAACATGTGCAGCAGCTGCTCTTCAAAATCTAACTATTACAAGAGGAATTAAAACAACTACGCTGTGTGCCTTATGAAACTGCAACTTCTTTTTGAATAGAAGCAATTTTACTTTAACCAGGGTTGAGCCTGGTCATCCTTTTGTCTTTCTCGGTTGTTACTGCTTGTTTCCAATTGCATTTAGATGCCTTAATCGTGACCAGGGCCCCRCAGGAATACACATTATAGAACACAGGCAATATCCCAGTCTCATTTTGTTCCCGGCAAGGGAGGCAGCCAGAATGTGAGACGTGGATGGAAGTGCCCCAGGGCCTGTGTTATCAACTCGCTCTAGYAGCAGCTGCTCCCACTGGCAAATCTCTTATGGATCAGTAGAGGAGAAGTATGGGCTGATGAACCGCACCAGGTTTTTCAGACTGGGAAAACCATTGGGAAGGGTTAAAAACTCCCATGAGACTGGAGGGCATCAATCCTTCTTGGCAGTCATCCATTTTTTTCTCCATTTTGTCTCACTTTTTGTGCTATTTAGCTTTTCTCGAAATGAATTTTAAATCTGGTGAGAGAAAGGGGGAATTACACCAAAACTTTCTGAGATAATTTGGCCAAATTCCTTCATGTCTGCATAGCTCAGTTTCCCTCTGTGTAATACAGGGGTAATATTTATGTTACATGGAGTTTAAGGGCTGTCTCTTCAGTGTTTGTCAGAAGCTATGAGGTGGTAATGAGGAAGGATYTGTATTTTTAAATAATTATGTTTTAATTTAGGATCTGTGCTGCTGATGGTTTTACTGTAGTCTCTCAGTGCCAGACAAGTAATTATAGGAGCCTCTAATCCCCAGGTGCTCTGAAGCTAGCAGAAGCTTTGTCACGAATGTTGTTTTGTTTGGGTTTTAATTGCTATTACATGGTAAACCAGGACGCCAGCCTAAACTGACCTCGCATACAAATGTTAGTGAGGGCAGGGAGCCCAGCCTAGCCCCGAGCCCAGAGCAGTCCCCTCTTCACGGTGGGAGCAGTGGGGCATGCGCATGGATGCATCTGCTCGATCCAAGCTGATCATATTGTATCCTGTGCTGTATTCCTTAATACCGTACAGCCAGCCGAGAGCAGACAAGTCAGCTTGRGTTCCTCCTTAGAAGACCTAAGTGTTGTATAGAGCAAGGGGCTAGAGTCTGCATGGGTAGCTAAACTGCAGGTATCTCGGGGATGACCGTGTGGACCCAAAGTGTGGGTCAGTACTTTGTAGTCACCTGATTTCTGGTGAGAATCCATGGAATTACAGAGCCATTGCCATTTGGGTCAGGATGGGGGATTAAATTATCCGTGGCGGTGTTTTAGACTGACAAAGGAGATGGAAACGGATCATCTTGAAGAGGAAAGTTCTCTTTGACCAACAGCAAGGGGTAGTCTATCCTTGAACGTGGTAGCTACACAATTTAAATAGTGACCAAAAAGTAAGAAAACCCCGTATTGCCAAGATTTACTGCTTTACAGACCAATGGAATGAAATGTAAACCACAACACGTCRGTCTTTATTCCATAAACTCTGTTATTCCCGTGCTGCTCGTGGATGAATAACCCTTTCCCCTCTCCATGCTGAATAGGCCAGGTGATTCCATCCYGGCCACCCAGCAGATGCTTCTGCAGTACCAACTGTTCCGAATCCCCCAGCCCTTCTCCGGCTTCTTTTTCCCCCTCTTTCCCCCACGTCCTACCAATCTAGGCTGCCTGGCACATGCTGCAAGCTGCAGTCCCGCTGGAGTGATATTGTGATGGAAATGAGGGAGGGGATGCGAGCAGAACTGCGCAGATTTACAGCACTCTAAGGGTTTCCATTAAAATCCTTGACAACTTGTTATTTATGAGTAGACCAACGGCTCTTCTAATATCCAAGGCCTAGACCTCATTCACTTCAATAATGCTGGTTTGGAATAAATGAGCCAGAGGATGGAAACCAGTTCTGTTAGTATAATGGAGGAGGCTAATAGCTGTTTAGAGAAAACAACTGATGTAATTCTGGGACCCAATCCTTTCGCCAACCAAACTATAAAGGTTTGATTCTTTAAGTGCATTTCAAATAGTGATTTAATTCAGTATAAAGAGGGTGACAAATGGCAGCATTAGGATTTCATGGCATTATGTACCCACTTTGCACTGCCCTGGGTACGATTTGCACTAGTGTGCTAGAGATAAAGGGACTCATTGACTGGTGTGCAAGCCGAAGGGGGTTAGTTTAATCTCTGCAGCAGAACAAAGATCTGCAGCAGGGGTTGGTCCTTGCAAAATAATATAAACAACAGAAAGAGCTCAGCATAAGCGCATTATCATATTTTTTTTTCAATATCATGGGGTCATATAAGCATCTCACCCCAGATTTTTTTTGAGTTTCTCAGCAACTAAGCTGGGGTAGCAGTTTATGCGTCATTTTAGAACAGCTTTTCCAAACAAATTCCCTTCCCTGTTCTCTTCCCGTCACTGACATGCCAAATACAGCAACACCTCCACACAAGTTCAGGTCTGACCCTTGAAACAGGGCCCTTAACAATCAAACCATGTTAAACACTAGGATATATATTATGCTGCTGAAAGAATTATCCGTCTCTTGTGCCGCGTCTTGAAACCAAGCTAGCTTGTATCCTGCTGCTTCCTTTTTCTCTGTTGTTCACCTGCATCTCATCTATTTATCAGGCTTTTGTCAGGCGTCTTTTAATTTCCTTTCTGCTTCCTCTGCTCTCCGCAGGAGCCCCATTAAAGGTGCAGGGAAGCAGCCGCCGCGCTCCCAGCCTCACTTCTGCGGCCTCGGCCTCCCTGAGCCCGGCAATCTCGGAGCATGTAGGTGCTCCCAAAGGTCCCAAGTGTCCTGCACGAGGAGGAGGGGAGACATGGATAGATGAGGAGGAATTAGGAGGAGAAAGGGTAGAGGAAAATGGCTGTGAATATGAATAAGGCGACTGGCCCTAAGATTGGGAAGGACTTCACGAAGGAAGTGGAGTGGCCTTTGAAGTGCTGTGATTTCAGGGCTGAGTCTGACAGTCCACGATCTATAACTATCTCTTCTGTGCTGAAATTAGCTTTTCCCAGGGAAAACAATGTTTTTTCCCTGTGGAAATTATTGAGACCAGGCAGCATGTGATGCCCTCTGTGACCATAGTTAGAATTTGCAGCATGCCTTTCCAGGAGAGAGATATCATCATGTGTTTTGCATTTTGCACATAGAGATATACCTGTAAATTGGAAAAAGATTCCCCATGAACAGATCTGTTCAGGCTTTTCTGCATGTGAACAGCCCAGAGAAAGGCCTTGGGAAGAACCAACTTCTTGGCTGAGGAAGGCAAATAGTCTTCCAGAAAGCAAGGGAAAGACAGGCCAGGAAAGGAGGCCGGATGGGGAAGCGATGCCAACCCACTACTGACCTGTTGAAATTTTTCTTTCCTATTTCTCACCCAATACATAGCAATGGAATACTGGAACTTATCCAAGGTGTAGCTATATCAAATTATCAGCCATTTGAGCTACTTCTGTATTAAACCATAAAGCTGAGCTAGCATTGAAAGCTCTTGTGATTCTAAGGGCTAAATGCAGCRGTAACATAAATAATGCTGTAAATTACAGGCAAAAAATGAAAACTTGGTCAGAAAATATATGAGGTAATTTGTGCTTAAGGATAAATTGGTCCCTGGCTCCCCAGGATAGGGAGGATATGACCTGCATCAGGCCAAAGTATATGGCGGGGAGCCTGAATCTGTGTCATTATTACAGAACACAAAGGATATACCCRAAAATACTTAAAAGTCAGCATCGTCGTGAGATTTATTGCAGTCTACTCCCCCCTGCTGGTCACCCGCTAGCTGCCTCTGTCACAGCCTGTGCTTCAGATCAGGTCTCCAAGAGATGGGCAGGGGTGATAGGAGCAGGCAAATGGAAAAAAATGGTAGGTACCAGTGTCACAGGGTTGGCAGCGCAAGAGAGGGGCCCCGATGCCAGGCACGAGTCGCTCGGGAACATAAATGGGTTGKGACAGAACTAACCACAAGTGACCAGGTTGGGGTTTATGAGAGGAGCTCTTAAGACTGGTGTTAGTARGAGAGTAGAAAGGAAATAAGTTGAATAATTCTGGAACTGGAATCTTCAGTTGTGAAAACTGAATACCTGTGACATGTTAAACCTGTGACATACCCTGTGACATGTTAAACGTTCAGAGATGTGAAGTATGTTGTTGGACAGAAGCTTCAGAAAGTATTTGAAAGCTTGCTAATAGCTCCATTATGACCCCATCAACTCCAGTTATTTCTTTAAAAACGAACAGACACAGACATCTTCTTGAAGGACTTTCTCAGTATAGGTTTATTTTTGTTGCTCATATTTTCTGTTACAAGCTTTTCTTAAAATAATGCTAATTAGTAGAGTACAGAAATGCTCTATTTAAACCTAGATTGATTTTAAAAAAAGTTTATGTGAATAAAATGAAAACAGTAAACATGAAGTCTGTTATTACTAAAGCTGTATAGAAGCTTAGGATTTTGTATTGCCTCAGCTATTCGGTACTAAACACACAGCTTAATACAAGTAGAGGGTAAAACTTTACCCTTTCATGTTCATCATAAATTGAAAGCCCCAAAGCAGAAATAAAAAGAGCAACTGAATGATCTGTGAGCAAAGCATTATAATATCCCAAGGCACTTAACGGTTTTGAATCAAAATATTTTGGTTTGAGAAAAGACTCTTCTTGTTAAATCAAGAAGGCTTAGAAGCATAAAAGGGAATTAATCCAGATCATCCCATCCTTTAAAGGAGGATGCCCAAATTCTGCTCAAGAAGCCCTAGATGCTCTGTCAGGACAATTCAGCTCCAGCTTTTCCTTGGGCTCCACACCGTACTGCCCTTCCCAGCTGAGACCCTTTGCTGGGTTTCCTCATCAGGAGATGGCTGCATGACAAGTGTTAGTGACTCCCTAAGCACAGATTTACTGTCTCACTATTCTCTGTAAATCTGATCGGATGGAGAAAAGGGACAACAATTTATGTGCCTTGCTCTACAACAAGCCAGGCTGCCTCTCTGCTGGAGCTTGGGCCCTACACCTGTAGATGTGCAAACAGATACAGAGTCTTGTTATAAATGTACAGTTTTCACTTCCTGTGAAAGCAAAGGAGAGGAAAAGACATTTTTATTTAGTTACTTTCACTTATTAGCAATTAATTCTGCTTTCTAGAGGGTGAACAGACTGAAAGTCTGATCGTGAGGGTTTATATAAATGTTTCTTCATCTTGAGTTAGCAATCACAGTGCTATAGTAATGAATAAAGCCATTGTAATAGAGATATATCAGCTAAGTGTAGCAGACTGCTGTACATCTCTCTGCTTGGCCCAACCTGGATGAATAGGTACATGGACTGTTCTCAAGTATTGATACCACATTCAACTTAATTAACAATTATAGGAATTGTGACCAATTAACAAGTACACATACTTGATCCAAGACAGAAGCTGCTGTTAAGCTGACGATGCTGATTCAATTTCAGGAAACGAATAACTGAACCCATTTAAGTCTTGGGTTAGGTGCTGCATGAAAAAGAAAGCTCAGAATTAAGGTACTAGTGGCATACTCGGGCTTGGCTGGGTGATTCTATCAGTGTGAATCAAGCCTAGAGAATGATTCAGGTCTATTCTACTCTATGGCCTCTGCCACCTATTCTACATAGCAGATGAGAACTCAGAATTATTCCAGACCGTGACAATAAATATGATCATCAAACACCTGCAGATTGGTCTTTTCAAAGGTCTCGTTGCAGAGAGGGCACTCCAGAAGGTGGCTCTGCACGTGTGCCTCAAAATCACTTGTATCGATAGCTCCAGGAAACACCTCATCGCACATGGGGCACTTCCTTATAGAAGCCTGAAATGCACAGCAAATGCAAATAAGGACCGTTAAAACATYGTTAAGGGTTTAAAGGAGGAAGAAAAATAAAGTTTTAATAGACAGAAAGCATCAGCTCTGYTCAAGTTCTTTCTGATCTCTAAAAATCTCACGTCTCAAATGGCTGCAGGCTTCTGACTGTCACTTTCAAGTCAAGAGCTTCTGAGGGGTATTTTAACTTTCCATTCGCCACAACACATGTTCCTGTCCCCAGCATGAAATAACCTATCTAGTGGTTCCCTGCTGCACAGGCTGACATTAGACGCTGCCAAAAGCTGCGACTTGGAGACTAAGGTCAACAGTTTCCTTTCTCTTCCCTAGCAGCAACGACTGTGATTAATTCTACAGTTTAGGTCTACATGGCTCTACTTAGTTGTCCCCTTCCTCCCAGAACTAGTATAACATGTAAACAATTGGCTACAGGACGGGATCTTCTTATTTCAAAGGGCTATAGGGCTGAAGCTTCTCATTTCAAATCACTAATTCCTGTCCACAAGGTACATTACTTACTATGTCCTCAGTTTTTGCATCCTGGTTTGCTCCTGAACCTAGAAAAAAAGAAGTTAACTTAACCAAAAAAAAAAAAAAAAAAAAAAACTAATAATGTAATGTGCTGATAACTAGTAATTCTTGAAACATGAGGATGTGGCTCTTGATCTAGACCTCTATATTTAACTATGGAAACTGGACATAAGCCACAGAACTAGCTGTCTCACAGCTGAATAAACCAGCTAATAGTTGTCTCTCTTGGCAGAAAATGAGCAGTCAGCTGCACACTTAAGTCGACTTTTTAACGCCTGACAGTATTTTGCAGCTGCCAAGTCATCTGCACAGATGTGAAGCTGCACTGAGGGGCCGCTAAGAACTTCTTTCCTACAAGCATTTGATTTGAGACAGAAGAAAACTGAGACTCTTACTGCCAAGCGCTTGTGATCCTCTGACAATGACACAGGAGGATGAAATCCCATTCCCCAAAGTTCCAACTCATTAATACTCCCATTATTTCTGATTCTAAGCCAGTTCTCCCACTTTCTTTGAGATAAGCATGGAGTAGACTTGAGTTGGACTTGCTTTCTCGGACAGAATGGCAAGCAATCTCACCACAGTAGGGATTTCCAAACACAAGGCCTCCCCCTGCATTCTGAGAGAGGCGTCTCAAGAGGTCGTCATTCTCTTTCCTTAGTTCCTGCAAAGGCAGGAGAACAGAATGATTTTCCAGAAGCTCTGAGCAACATTTCAGACAGAAGTCATAATTTGCAGTAACGCAGCACCTCTTAAAATCATAAGACAATTATATTCAATTCAGGAGAAGGACAAGGGTAGCAGTGCAAAGTTCTCACCTGATTTTCCTTATCAGTTTCATTGTTTTTTGCCTGCAAAATCTGGTACAAGTGCTTCTCCTCCTCAAGTTCCTTCATTAAGTTGCAGTTTTGTTGCTGTGAAGGAACAGTGTTATTTGGTGAATGGGAGGAAATCAGCAAACAAAAAACCAGGAGAGCTTGGAGCACTGTTCACAGGTATTAGCTGTCTGACTGCATTTATTACTAACAAATAAACTTTCAATATGTCTTACCATTTCATAATTTGTAACTTGGGATATCTCTATATCATCATTCACTTAAGTTCTCTATTTTTATTACAACATGAGAGATGATGTGACCCCCAAAGACAACAGAAGTCAGGCCAGACAAATGGAAATTTTGAAGAAAAGCAGCTATTAAAGCTGAAAAATGCATCCTGACAGCTGAGAGCTCTCCCAGTCTGCCAGGTTTCCTGGGACTGACAGACTTGCACTGACTGTGGATAGCTAATATATCCTTAGGAATAAATCTTGCAGCTGACTTGGATTAAATCAGTAATTTAGATAAGGTAGAATACTTAAAGATTCTGCAGTCACTGTCAAAGCATCACTCCAAGAATCCTGAGCATCTGGCATCACAGCAGAGGTAATGATATCATTTATTTTAAGCACCTAATTTTCAAAGCCRAAGTCAGAGTATTGCCTCCGACAGCGTCCTCAATAGCGCACATAGMGAGAAGCACCTTTGGAAGGTGATTCAGGACAACAAACTGAGGGTGATGTGAATGGCCTGCACCGCTGCAAATTATGGCTCCTTCAACAGAAAGAAATGCTACTGCATTTCACCCTCCTTCCTTCTCTTACGGCCTTTATATTTCTTCATAGAATAGTTCGCAACACTGGGGTTGTGGATTACTTCTTAAGCAACTTCCACAGACCTTTAAGAAGAGCAAATTTCTTGTCCATAAGCTTACGTTTCTTATATAGACATCTGCAACATCATTGGGAAATTGGGAAGGTTCTGCAACTTGTGAAAGACTGAAGCAGTGCTTCAAGCAAAGGGCACCTCTCCTGCACTGCTAATGGCAGAGCTTGGTGATCAGTGCTTTTGGACCCCCCCGTCTCCCCAGCTGCACCCACAGAAATGCCAGGCACCTGCTCATTCTTTAGCAAGTGTGACAGATGGGCCTCCCAGCCCTTCAGGTCCTCCAGGACATGTTCCAGCTTCTCCTTGTGCTCCCTCTGCAGAGAAATCCCAGATGTGCGCAGGCAGAGAGGCAAAGGAAATATTAAGGAAAAGAGGTATCAGAGATGCTGGACACTGGAGAGTGTCACTGCCCCRACTGCCCCAAGCAGCAAGACACCCAGGGAGGGCTTCACCTGCTCAGCCACAGTGAGCCTCAGCTGGCGATTCTCTTCCTTCAAGCATTCAAGCTGCTCAGTCCTGTCGTGCTCCAGACGAGCCACTTCTTTCTCATAATTCAGCACCTGAGACTAAGCAGAAAGAAGAATGGACAGATCTTTTTTWAAAAAAGTGATGACTGAAGCACAGGCACTTTTTGCTGCACAACGTACAGCGCAGCAAGCCATGACTGCTTAAAAGTTATTTCTGCTAACTCTTTTTTTTTTCTCAAAAACTTTGTAGAAGCTGGAAATAGTTGCGTGGGGATATACTGAAGCCTATGTATTCATCAGAACACAGTATTCATTCATATATTCTTTGAGAAGCTTTTTAATTTTSAGAATGACATTTCTAGTCTGGGAAGTCAGAGAACAAAGAGGAAAATAAAGACTCTGAGGGCAGATAAAGACCAGACCGTTCCGTCTCCCATGTCCCAGGCCTGGCAGCCAAGCTATTTTCATTCTACCTTCTCCCTTCAGATGCCTCTCAGCAAGAAGTCTTTGTTTTCACCCAAGCATTTAACAAAATTTTAGAATGTTTTTCAAAATAGAGTTGTTCTAACTCATCCTTTTACGTATCTGCTCCTTAGCTAGCATGAGCTAACAGCAGTCTTATCTTGGTTAGCTTAACCTCTAAGCAAATGAGATGCATTCAGGGAATAAACAAAAGATTCCTTACAATTTCTCTTGACACATCCCACCCTACCTTTCCTTCCAAGCTGTAGCTTTCCTGAGGTTTCGTGTAAAAGGTTCACGTTTTTCTAAAGATCTCAGGTAATCAGAAAAGCAATTCAGACACTACATATTTGTTTAACATTGTTCAGTTTTCTGCTAGAGGCAAACCCAGACCCTCAGATACAAATCACAAAAGCAAAGGGAAGCAGTTGTATGTTTTCTACCTGCAGCTGATCCATGTGATCCAGTGCTGTTTTCAGTCTGTTTTCCAGGTGTTCCTTTTCAGAGGTCACCTTCTGAATTTGCTCTTTGAGTCTACTCAAAACAAATCAAAATGCGCTGCATTTTCAACAACCCATGTTCCCAGTATCACACTTTGGTAGACAAAGCCAGCAGTCTACATTTCCAGGCCTAATAAAAAGTTCAGGTTGTCCACACCCAGGATGAAATGCAGTAACCTTTGGTTGCACGCGTGCTGAGGGGTTTCCAACGTCTCGTTTGCCTGTGCAAAGTTAACTGAGCTCTTGTGAAGCATGGAGAAGTTCCACAGTCTGGGGTCGCCTATCCAAGCTTACAGAGAAACCCAAGCAACTGCAGCTCCTGGATTCACTCCAAGAGTCACTTTTGCTCCGTCCTCGCCTCACTGACACTTTTCTGAGGTTCAGTTCACCTGAATCCAAGCCCTAGAGAACTGYTCACACATTTCTCAGGAGCTTAGTGCTAGGAACACCTGTGGACACATAACCCCTGGCTTTCACGGACTCTAAGGTGCTCACATGAATTCCTGTTTGGAGGCACCCTGTAAGTACACTTACTGGTGAAGTTCTTCCTCCCTGCAGTTAGTCAGCTCCTTTAGATGCTTGTTTTCTTCTTTTAGGGAATGCAGCTCCTGCTCCACTTTCTCTCTGTTGCTCTTCAGAGACTCAAAACTATTCTGCAGCTCCTGGAAATCAAAATGAGATCATTGGGACTTCAGTGGGACCCAAGCAACGGTCCTGCTCTGGAGCTGCAAAACCCCTCTAATGCAACACTTCCAAGCAGCCCATCCAAAGGGGGAAAATCTCTCCTTTGCACCTTAATCACTCCTTCAGACCCTATTTTATTTAATATTAAGCCCTGAGAAAAAACAGAGGAAGAGAAAATAATGGTGGAAGAACATCAAAAATAGTTTTTCAGACTTAAAGCCTTTAACTTTCTATATTAAACTTCCCTGTTGTACCTGTGTCTTCTCGAGTTGCTCCTGCAGATCCATATTCTGTTTCTGGAGACTTGCACAGTTCTCCTTCAGCTCCTCGTTTTCCTTAAGCAAGTTTTTGTTTTGTAGCTCAATCTCTTCCACTTCTCCCTGGCAAGCAACRGAGCTGTTCAGTCACAACAGAAGCGTTGTGTGAGAGTTGTGTTCCAACTCCACATGTTATTTACTGCATCACTCCATGTCAGCAATGAGCACATGCCAGGAAAAGACAAAGCAGGAAGAAAAAAAAAAAGGGGGGGGGGGAGGGAAGGAGTCCTACCTGTGTGGTAACCACCAGGATATCATCCTCAGTCTCTGCTCTGAACTGGAAAGGTACGCTGGCTCCTCGGACCACTCCATCCTGGTCAATGTAGCAGAACTGGTAGTATTCATCATCTTTTGGCAGATAGTAGGCTTCAAACAAACAACAACCCCATCAAATGAATCTTCTAATTATTCAGGCTACTCAACTCTGTAACACGGAAAGTCTGAATCTAAGGAAAGCTGAGACATTCTGGTTCAACATTGTTCCTACACCAAGACTAAGTCTTTGCACCAGTGATAAGCACACAAACAATATCACTCTATCAAGACAGCAGAACTTAACAGATGGGAAATTTTGTGGCTATTACTATGGGACCGATTTATCGCTCCCGTACTTGGCAATAGTTTCCGTAAACGCAGCACTGCAGATGTTCTGCACGCAAGGCTCGTGAAGGGCACACAGCAGGATCCAGGCACAGATCCCGTGTGTGTGGCTGTTTGTGCACGAGCAGACATGATACTGGGGTTGTTGTGCACGAGCAGACGTGTTCCCGGGGCTGTTGTGCACGAGCAGACATGATACTGGGGCTGTTGTGCACGAGCAGACGTGTTCCCGGGGCTGTTGTGCACGAGCAGACGTGTTCCTGGGCCACCCAGTTTCCCCACTGACCTTTGAACTGGATCTGCTGCTGCACAGCCACGTGGCCGCTGACACCGCTGGGCAGAGGCGCCCACATGAACGTGTAATATTCCCGTGTCGTTTTCCATCCCACCTACAAGGGCAGACTCGTTACACGGGGCCACGAAATTCACCGTTTATGCTACGGCAGTTTCAGGGGATAACTTGGGAGTGTATTGCCACCGAGTTAATGGCAGGGCTTTTGCAGGGTTGTCTTGGCTTAGACATGTGGCCTATGCATACAAGGACAAGCAAAGCTATTAGCCAGTTTATTCCATGAGTTCATGTGGGTACGGGGAGCACTGAAGTAGGAAATATTTTTGAAAAGATGGGGTCAGAACTGTCTACAGCATAGCTACCTATTCTCTTCTGGTTTTAGGAATCGGAGTCTGTTTGATCAGCCCTGAAGCTGTTCTAATTGCAAAGTGAAGCTGGGATAGCCTTTCCTGCAGCATGAAAATAAGGAGCTCTGCTTTCCCCAGGGTAACAACAGGTCTCATACTTTGTCCCTAGATGCAAGAGATATTCCATTACACAAGTTTATTACTGAAAAAAAAATCCCTCACCCTGTTTTACCACAGTCCTAATCCTTTCTTAGGGAGCAGGTTTGAAGCAAGCAGATGTCAAGCTGCTTGGTTCTGCTGGTTGCTACCTTCTCCCACTTGGTACACGAGGTTTCACAGGAATGACTTACCCGGAAGATGCCCACCCAGTCCTTCCCACGAGGAGCAATGTTGTTTGTGAGTGTATAATAACAGGTTATGTCTCCTCCGGGAACATAGAACTTCTCCACGTCGTTGAAGATGACCTGGGAGAAGTGGCAGTTGTCTAAGAGGACGGCAGAAGTGGGAGGTTCGTCAGAGGTCTCATCCATCGTGGAGTTCTGCAARAGGAAAGAATAAGACACTTATCTAATCTTCACGAGCGGTCAACCCAGTTGTATCCACAAAGGGTACAAGGACAGAAAGCTGGTGAGCAACGTAGTTGGCTCTGCTCAGTGGGAGCTACAGCCCAGCGCGAGACACCAGACACACTCACGCTGATAACAACCAAACTCAACAGCCTTTCGGTGCCCTGCATTCTAATAACCTCCCAATACAGCGTTTTTCACTCCCAGCTTCCTGGCTCCAAGGCGAGAGCTGACCTTGCTAAGCTCAGCTCCCATGGAAGAGCACGAAGATCCCGGTGAGGGAGGTCGTCCTAGCTCTCTCTCACGAGCCCGTGTCAAGAGGCTGGTTATAGCCTTGCTACTCGTGACCACTACTGCAACTGCAAGGCGATTCTCYGTCCCGAAATGAATATGTTGCATGGCAGCAGGGTCAACAAATAGCATTAAAGGGTTCGCAGGAGTTATCTCCAGCGAGCACTTTTTGGTGTGTTGTGACACCGTGACTGCATTCATCTACTGAGAAAAGAGTATCCCAACTCCCTAGGCAAGCCTGGAAACAGCAGACTAAATTACAGCCTTTGCAGGCGCCCGGGCTTTGACGCTGGCAAGGCGTCGAGAGGCTGAGAAAATCCTGTCACCCATCCCGTCCAAGGGGGTTCCAGGAATCTCCAGCAGAACCTGAGCTGCTCTCAGTAACAGCAAAGGAKAGCGAGTCTAGGCCTCAGGAGGGATAGGAAAGTTCCTCCAAGCAGCCATCCCTCAGGCTTTTTAGATCATCTCAAATCCATGTGAAACTCCTGGGTTTGAACAGCCTGGCCCCTTTATTTTGCTATTGGGGCATCACCTGCGTGTTGTCCAGGGAGGCTGGGGAATTGCTCCTGCTGGAAGAGGGCAGGTCAAACCAGGACAGGCGGGACACGTCTTGGTCCCCCCAAGAAATCCAAGTACACGGCTCCAGTTTTCGGTATCTCACTAAAGCGCAGGAGATTGGGGCTGATGAAGCTAAACCTCAATCCTCATCTGCCTCACGTCCATCCTTCCTGCTCTGCTGCACATTAAGACGTGCAGCATTCAAGCGCACCGGGAGCTGTCGGGCAGGAAGAGCTGAGATCCCGGCACAGCACCTCCATGAGGGCAGCGCTGCAGAGCGGGATGGCAACTCCAGCTGCTGCCCGGCTTAACGGGAGCTTGGAGAAACGATGGATGGACGCCTGGATGGAGCGAGGTAACTCGTAAGGGGTTCTGCTGCAGAGGAGGACGTCTGGGGAGGAAGTAGGTGCAGTGGTGAAGAACAGCAGAGCCGATGCCCACGGGGAGCGCTCCGGCGGGTGTCACGGACCCCGGGACGGGTGTCACGGACCCCGGGACGGGTGTCACGGACCCCGGGACGTCGCACGGGGCATCCCACGGGCTCCTCCCGGCGCGCTGGGCGTGGGTTTTTTTTTCTCTGTCAATTTTCCTTTCGTTTTCCTGATGATTTTTTCCCTTTCGTTTTCTGCTCCGGAACTGCAGAAAACTACCCCAAAACGCAGGAAAACGGGGGTTTCTCCCTCCCCGGCGAGACCGCGGGCCCGGGCGGGGGGGGCGCCGCG